GGAAAGATAATCAAAACCTCAATTAATACTACAAAATTACAGGAGAGATAATAATAATTTCAAATAAGGACAAGCAGTTGTGAAAAGATAGCATGACAATAGAAAAGGTAAAAATCTTCAGTTAAGTCAAATAAGAGTCAAATAAGCAACAAGAGTTAATCATAAAGCAATTAATCCCAATTAAACGAGGTAGAGTGAAACTAGCAATTAAGAAAACTTAATCATAACAAAATAACTTCATACTCAGTGAATACAAGAACCTAAGACCCTAAAAGGCCAACTTTCCACAAATAAGTCCGTGCACGTACTCGTCACCTCGCGTACAAGGACTACAATTAGCATAGAAGACTCAAATCCTAAGGGTAGTTTCCCCACACAAGGTTAGGCAAGATACTTACCTCAAGGAAGACAGACCGTTACTCCAAAATGAAGTTCTCGGGTGAAATGACCTCCGGGCGGCTCAAATCTAGCCAAAATAACTTCAAAGCTTAAATAAAACTCATAATAAACTATTCTGGATCATAAAGCCTCAATCTTTATAAAAATCTAAAAATCGACCCAAAAGTCGACCCCTTGGCCCGCGCCTTGGAACCCGACAAATATCACAAACCCGAACACCCATTCCGATACGAATTCAACCATACTAAAACTATCAAATTCCGATGCCAATTCGTCCCTTAAATCATGATTATTCATTTTGAAAGTTTTCTTCAAAAATTCCCATTTTTCTCAACTCAAAACACAAATTAAATGATAAAAATAAAGATAAAATCATGGAATATAATAAATTCTAGGTGAAGAACACTTACCCAATTGATTTGCTTGAAAAACTCACAAAGAAGCTCTCGAAACTGAAGTCTAAAACTCAAGATATGGAGAAAATGGCAAAACCCTCGAATATAAACTCTCTGCCCAGGACTTCCGCATTTACGGACAAATAAGCGCATTTACGCAACCGCATTTGCGAGCAAACGTTCACATCTGCAAACTTAACTTACCAGGCCCAGGTCCACATCTGCGGACAACATAGCCGCACCAGCGCCGCCGCAGAAGTAATGACAGGAGCGTAGAAGTGGGCTCCTTCACAGATGCGATCCCTCAACCGCAAAAGCGGCCTTCACACCTGCGTGCCAGCATCCGCAGAAGTGAGCTAGCTCCCAGACCTCAACAATCGTAGAAACGACCAGGCTCAGGCAGAAGCGGAGCCGCACCTGGGCTCCATAGTGTCGCAGGTGCGAAAATACCAGAACCAGACCTCTTCAAGACTATGAAAAACATTCGAAACTCGTCTGAAACACGCTCGGGGGCCCCGGGACCCCGTCCAAGCATACCAACAAGTTCCATACCCTAATACGGACTCGCTCAAGGTCTCAAATTACATCAAACAACGTCAAAACTACGAATCGCACCATGAATCGCACTTATGAATTTTTAAATCTTCCAACTTCTAAAACTCGTGCCGAAACCTATCAAATCAACCCGGAATAACGCCAAATTTAGCAGACAAGTCCCAAATGACATAACGGAGCTGGTCCAACTCTCGGAATCGCATTCCGACACCGATATCACAAAAGTCAACTATTGGTCAAACTTCTCCATCTTCCAAACTTCAACTTTTCCAACTTTCGCCGAAACGCTTCAAATTACTCTACAGACCTCTAAATCCAAATCTGGACGCACGCCTAAGTCCAAAATCACCTGTTGAAATTATCCAAAATCCATTCCAGAGCCGTTTACACAAAAGTTAGTTCCGGTCAATTCTTACCGCTTAAGCTTCCAAAACTGAAATCTTTCCTTCCAATTTGAATCCGAATCATCCGATAACTGAATTCGACCATGCACACAAGTCACACATACTACGAAGTTGCTCAAGACCTTATGCCGCTGAACGGAACTTAAATTCTCAAAACGACCGGCCGCGTCGTTACAACTTGCCATTTATATTCAATAACATTTTTATTAAGCATAATTATTCATAAATTTTCGCATAACTTAATGCTTATAAATGCATTACTAACTTCAATAACATTTTTATAAGAGGAAATATTCATAAAGTTTGACATGACTAAATGAGTATATTATTTAATATCATCAACCAAAATTTGCATTACATAAATTTTGTGAGTATGTCTTTTCTTATGCGCTCAATTAAATACTATATTATTTTATACAGAAACTAATATGGGTATTATATTGTATGAATTGTTCATGCGATTATTATTAATAATAATAGATTCTTTTGATTCATAAATAGTTTAGTGTATGAATTAGTAACTTCAATAATATTTTAAGCAAAAATTACTCATGAATTTTTGCATAATAAGTATATTATTTAGTGAAGCAAAAAAGCTTTGTGGCGACCTATTTAGTCGCCACCAAAAGTATCCAAGTGGCATTAAAATCTATTTGCAGCATATTTAGTCGCCAAAAGCTTAATAAAGAACAAACAAGCTTTTGTGGAGATCCATTTAGTCGCCAAAGGTTCCCGTAATACATGCCACTAATTCAAGTGGCGTCCCTCCATTAAATGTATTTGTGGCGCACTTGATACTTTTCTGGGAAGTACAATCGCCATAAAAGTAAATAATAAAACAAATAAGCTTTGTGGTGACCTTTTGAATCGTCACCGAAACTTTCCGTAATACATGTCGCCAAGTCAAGTGCAACCCCTCTGCATTTGTTACTTAAAAGATAATAGTAAGACAAATAAGCTTTGCGGCGACCTACAAAAAATTTCCATATTACATGTCACCAATTCAAGATACGTCCCTCCGTTAAATTTATTTGGGGCGCATTTGTTGCTTTATTGTGGCGATCGTCGCCACAAAAGATATTAATAAAATACATAAGCTTTTGTGGATCTCTTCACTCCCCACCAAAAGTATTTGTACTACATGTCACCCTTTCAAGTGGCGTCCTCCATTAATTTATTTGTGGTGCATTTCTACTTTTTCTGTGATGATAGAGACGAACTCCGTTAAATCTAGTTGTGGTGCTATTTTGCTTTTTGTGGCGAGAAAGTGGCCACAAGCTAAAAATAAAACAAATGAGCTTTGTGGCGACCTTCGTTGTCGCCTCCAAAAGTATGTCGTTCTTTCATGAGACAACCGATCCATTATATCTATTTTTGGCGCTTTTTGCTTTTGTGGCAAAAAAGTCGCCACAAAAACTAATAAATAAAATAAATGAGCTTTTCTGGCGAGCTTTTGATGTCGCCACCAAGAGTATATCGCTAGGCGACCTCCATTAAATCTATTTTTGGCAATTTTTAGCGTTTTTTACTTTTGCAGCGGCAAACTAATATTACCTTTTGCGGCAACGTTTACGGTCGCCAAAAAAAATGGCCACAAACAAATATTACTTTTAGCGGCAACTTCTGATGTCGCTACTGAAAATTATAATATTTACTTTTTATGACGACTTTCAAGGTCGCCACTTGAAATTGCGACAATTTATATACCACCTTGTGGAGACTTTTAGGGTCGCAACCGAAAATAGCGACACGACACAAAAGTAACTTTTTGTGATGACCTCCAAGGTCGCCATTGAAAATGACGACATATACTAATTACATTTTGGGCGACCTGTGGGGTCGCCACTGAAAATTGCGATATACAAAAATTACTTGTGGTGACGACTTTCACACTCAAATTGGCGAGGGCGGTATACAAAATTACATTTTGTGGCGACTTATGTGGTCTCCACAAAAAACGACGGCTATAAATATTACCTTTGTGACGCTTTTTTCTTTTGTAGCGAGAAAGTAGCCACAAAATTAATAAATAAAATAAATGAGTTTTGTGGCAACCTCTTTCGTCGCCACCAAAAGTATATAGCTCTTGTAATTAGTGATCTCTATTAAATCTATTTAGGGCGGACTTTTTACTTTTGTGATGAGTTTTATCGCCACACAAGCTAACAATAAAACATGTGAATTTTTGTGGCGACCTCTTTAATCGCCCAAAAATAGAAGTTATTTGTTAGTGCACGCCACCGAAAGCGGATGTAATTTACTTGATGTGCTATATAAATGATCTCTTGGTAGACAATATTCTCCTAATTTAGAATATTTTCTTTTGAATCATTGTCAAGATACTTAAGTTTTAATTCTCTCTGACAAATTTCAGTACTAGTATCTCAAGGAAACATGAGTGCTACCAGAAATTTATCTACAATATTCTTAGTCGGTACTGTTAATCACATTGGTCAAACACAGAGAAGGAAGATTCTGAAGTAACTTTAAAGCCCGCAGAAAAGAGCATAAGCCATGGTTCCGAGCTTAATGAATACAATGTTGACAATGATTATTTTCACGATAATAAGCGGAAATTAACAAGGTTAAGTATCGCATCTCTCACAAGACTTAGGAATGAAATTCTTCAAACTAACTGGTAAGCAAATGTAATTTTAAGTCCTATGATCCTCTTAATTGTTGTGATGGGCATCACATGGGCGGATGTAGAGTATAAGCTATAGGTTTAGTCTAATACAGTAGTTTTGGATGAGACGATATATGTATTAAGAATTCATTAAATATGTATAAATATTAAATTTTGAACTTAGTAACTCAATGAACTCATAAAGTTTAAATTGTAAATTCTCTAATACATGTCAAGCTCAAGACAAACAGGTCGGGCCATTGAAAGTGTGACCACCTAATTCTCTTATAAGCTCTCATTAATTAATTTACTACTAATAGACAAATGAAAGTGCACTTCTTTATTTTCTTTATTTGTCTTTATTGAAGTCACGTGCCTCACGTGACCCTTTTGTAATAGGTCGGTTAATTAGTTAGTTGGAGGCAGTGCTCGTGTATATATAGCTCATGCATTGAAGAAGAGATACATAATCAGATTATCATTCTCTCATCCTCATTTCCTTTGTTCTTCATCTTAGCTTCTAGATTTTTTTAACATGGTATCATAGCAGCGATTAGGGCTCTGAACCTGCTTCTTCTTCACCTAGCTGATTTGCCATTGTCAAATCTAGAGATGTCCGCCATGGGAGACACCTCAACACCTCAAATTGACCATCGTCATTCACTCTATCTTCAACCATCCGATACGCTTGGAGCGATTCTGATAAATATCAAGCTAACATGCCTAGAAAATTACGGATTGTGGAGTAGATCGATGCGTTTGGCTCTATTGGAAAAGAACAAGCTAGGTTTCACAAAAGGAACATGTGTGAAGAGTTTATACAAAGGAGAATTAGCCGATCTGTGGAAAAGATGTAATGATATAGCTCTATCATGGATTAGGAGATGTGTGTCACAGGAACAGTTGCCAAGCATCGTCCATGTGTCAAATGCAGCAAAGGTTTGGGCTGAGTTCAAGGAGAGGTTTGAAAAATCTAATTTGACTAGATTATATCACCTTTGGACTCAAGTTGGAACCCTAACTCAAGGTACTGATTTTGTTACCACGTACTTTACTAAAATGAAAGTCTTATGGAACGAACAAGACACCTTAATACCAGGTAGAGGATGTAATTATAAGGAATCGGAACCATTTTTTGAAATGTTCTATCAGCAACGTCTAGTGCAATTTCTAGTAGGATTAAATGATACATATGCTCACGTTCGCAGCCAAATTTTGTTAAAAACACCTGTGTTATCAGTAAATTAAGCATATGCCTTAGTGATACCAGAAGAAAGCCAAAGGGCTCTTGGTGTAATGGACATGAATAAGGAGTCATTGACCATGTTAGCTAACAAGGTACAAATGATGAAAGGCAAAAAGTTTGGTGTAATCTGCGAACACTGTGGGTATAAGAGGCATTAAAAGGAGAATTGCTACAAAATTGCAGGATATCCACCTGATTTCAAGAGCAAAAGAAAGCCAATGCAGGGTGCTGGTGGCTTCAAGACCTATACTAATAATGCAACAGTTGAAGGAAATAATTCTGCTGAAGGGAACAGTTCTACTGAGAGCCAATCTCAAGGCCACTACATCACAGAGGAGGAGTATAAGCAGCGTGTGGACTTGCTGAATAAATCTTCAGCTGGTGATTGCAAACTCAACATGGCAGGTATTGTTTTCATATTGTCGAATGATTGTCTCTTTGAATTAATCATTGACTCAGGGACCTCTCATTATATCACTTCCTGCAAGGAGAAACTAGTTGACATCAACATATTAAGAAGTCCGGAAAGTAGAAAAGTGCAGGTACCAACTGGAAACAGGCCACAAATAACAGATATAGGAAGTGCAATAATCCTAGTGGGACCGAGGATAAAAAATGTTCTACATGTGATAGACTTCAAGTTCAACCTACTTTCAGTATCAAAACTGACCAAGGATCTTGTTTGCACTGTTAAATTTTTTCCTGTTTTGTCTTTTACGAGGTCTTACAGTGGCAAGGTGATGGGGAATGGTAGAAAAATAGATGATCTTTACATCCTTATAGGAGCAATAAAACCAGTAGTAGCGACAACAATGATAAAATGAAACTATAACACAAAATTATAGTTTTGTGTTATAACACAAAATTCGAGATTAGGACATCTCTCCATGAAAGCAATGCATCACATTCCTATCTTGAAAGGTTTAGCAGATGAGCATACTCAACAGGAGTGTCAAATATGCCCAATGGCAAAGCAATACAGGTCAACAGTCCCAGATAGCACAGGTAAAACAGATTGTAGCTTCCAGCTTATACACCTAGATGTTTGGGGTCCTTATAAGCAGCCTACATATGATAAAAAATGTGACTTTGTCACAATTGTTGATGACTATAATAGATATACTTGGTTATGTTTGATACAGTCCAAATGTGAAGTGATAATTGTGTTGACAAATTTTTTTTCAATGATAAAATATCAGTTTGGCATGAATATTAAAGTACTGAGATATGACAATGGTGCAGAATTCTTCAATTCCAAATATAGTGCTTTTTTTTCTACTCTTGGAATAGTTCATCAAAGTAGTTGCCCATACACTCCACAACAAGATGGTACTGTAAAAAGGAAACATAGACATATTTTGGAGCTTGCAAGAGCTTTAAAAATTTAGAGTTCAATCCCATTTAGATTTTGGGGAGAGTGTATTAGGACTACAGTTTACCTAATTAATAAGATCCCAACTGCAATCCTCAAAGGCAAGTCACCTTATGAAATACTTCATGGCAAAGCACCAAAACTTGAACATTTGAGGGTGTTTAGATATTTGTGTTATGCAGTGTTTTACCAAGAGAAGATAAATTTGCTGCAAGAGCAAAGAGAACGGTATTTATGGGCTATTCAAAAACACAAAAGGGGTATAGGTTGTATGACTTGGATTCTAAGTCTTTTTTGGTAAGCAGAGATGTTTCCTTCAAGGAAAGGAACTATGGAGACAATAGAGATGATGCCTTGTTCCTATTGGATCCAATTCCAACTGAGAGCATGGATCCTATTACACCAGAAGTAGGATCTCAAATTACCAACTCAGCTGATGAACATGACATATTGTCTGACACTTTCTCAGAAGGAACACATTTGGAAAATACAACAGATCTAGAGGAAAACCTGGACAATTCAGAGACAAATATCAATCCCAATTGTAATGATAGCATCTCAGATTCCAGCATACCAGCTGAGATGAACCAACAATAGGCTATCACAAATGAACAAGATGCAGGTGAACAGTCTGTTGAACAAACTGCAGGTGAGCAACTTGAAGAGTTAGTTGCAGGGGATCAGTTTGATAACCAAGAATCAAACAGAACTAGACCTAGTAGAGTCTCTAAGCCTCCTGCATGGCTGAAAGACTATGTTACTAGGAAGAAGACTTCAGCCTTATGTCAGTATCCTATTACTGCTCATATATCTTACAATCATCTACCTGAATCCTATCAATCCTATGTTGGTCTTGTCTCAACTGTTGCAGAACCAAGAAGTTTTAAGGAAGCAGCTCAAGATGAGAAGTGGATAGAAGCCATGAGTCAGGAAATAACTGCCTTGGAGGACAACCACACTTGGAAAATTGTTGATCTACTAGTAGGTAAATAAATTGTGGGAACTAAATGGGTATATAAAATTAAGTACAAAGTCAATGGAGAAATAGACAAACACAAGGCCAGACTAGTGGCAAAAGGATACACACAGCAAGAAAGTTTAGACTATCATGAAATATTCTCACCAGTTGCCAAGATGGTAACTGTGAGAACAGTGATAGCTATTGCAGCCTCAAAAGATTGGGATCTTTCACAAATGGATGTTAATAAAATTTTCCTACAAGGAGATTTGTTTGAAGAAGTATACATGGATTGCCTCAAGGCTTTCACAGACAGGGGAAGTATAAGGTATGCAAACTACTTAAGTCACTCGGTGGCTTAAAACAAGCTTCTCGACAATGGAACATCAAGCTCACTGATGCCCTAGTAGAAGCAAGCTACAAGTAGAGTTCTTATGATCATTCTCTATTCACAAAGAGGGCTGGAGATGATATTGTCATAATCTTGGTGTATGTGGATGATATTCTCATCACAGGGAGCAACAAGAAGCCGATTGAAGAAGCTAAAGGCACCCTTTCATAACAGGTTTAAAGTAAAGGACTTAGAAAAGTTTCCTGGGCAATGAAGTTTTAAGATCTATGTCTGGGATTCTGCTTAATCAAAGAGAGTATGCTTTAGAATTGCTTATAGACATTGGTTTGAGTGGGTCCAAACCTGTTACTACATCACTAGAGGTTAACCTTAAACTCACATTTGTTGAGTATGATACTCATGTTGGGAGATCTGATGATGAGCAATTGACAGATGCTAGAAGTTATCAAAAGTTAGTAGGCAAGCTGCTATATTTGACCATTACCAGGCCAAACATCAGTTTTACAGTGCAAGTACTGAGCCAGTTCATACAGCAGCCAAAATTATCACATTGGAATGCAACTTTGAGATTGGTAAGGTACATTAATAGGTCACCTGGACAAGGTATACTTTTAAAAAGAGGAGCTGATATAGAGCAGTTAGCAGCCTCATGTGATTCAGACTGGGCTGCATGCCCCAATATAAGAAGATCAGTAATAGGCTATGCAATCAAGTTAGAGGAGTCTTTGATATCTTGGAAATCCAAGAAGCAACAAACCATAAGTAAAAGCTCAGCTGAAGCTGAATGCAGAAGTATGGCAGCAGCAGTAGCTAAAGTAGTTTGGCTAGAAGGTCTGCTAAAAGAATTGAGTGTTGACATATCAACACTAGGGAAGTTTTTTAGTGACAGTAAAGCAGCAATGCAGATTGCAGCTAATCCAATATATCATGAGAGAATAAAACATATCGAGATTGACTGCCATTTCATTAGGGAGAAGATCAAGAAGGGACTAATTCGACCAGAATTTTTGGGAAGCAAACATCAACTAGCTATTCTTTTCACAAAAGGGCTGGGTGCAGCACAACACCATTATTTGTTATCCAAGCTAGGGATGTTAGGTGTGTACCACCCTCCAGCTTGAGGGAGGGGGGGATATTGAAGTCACATGTCTCACGTGACCCTTTTGTAATAGGTCGGTTAATTAGTTAGTTAGAGGCAGTGCTCGCGTGTGTTGTATATATATATATATATATATATATATATATATATAAAATTAAATTTTCACTCTCATCCTCATTTCTTCTGTTCTTCACCTTAGCTTCTAGATTCTTCTAACAGTCTTCTTTTTCTCGGTCATTGTTTTACCTTTTGGTGAGAGCTTGCCTTCTTGAGATTTATTCCGATCAACAAAAGCCCCCACCCATAATGTACTTATTTAATTAATGGCTTCAACGAATAATTACTTTTTTTAGTTCAATTAATGGAGTTTATCTATACTAAACAACTTACCGAAATCTCTTTTCATCATCTCTCAATTTTTTAATGCCGAAAAGAAGTTTCAAAGTTGCTACTTGCCGCTCGACTAAATTAGCTCTTTTGCTTTCTATGCATTTGGTCATGAGCTCAAAGTATACCTGATCTAATGAAGGCGAACAATATCGGACGCAGGATTTTCACCAACGAAATTTAAAAAAAAAAAAAAAGGTAAATACTCAAAGAAGCCAAAAAATGTTCAACTTCTAGTATATAAACATAAAAAAAATTAACCTTACATATACAATATAATTTTTCAGCGAAGGGGTTTCGCCGATCCCTTTAGCTCCGTTATTGGGATAATAATTACTACCTCAATCACTACAACCAAAAAAATTTATGTTCACCCTTCTTCGTAAAGTAAATTAACCTCCAAAACCTGTGACATCTAAAGCTAGAAAAGTAGAGTGAAAGGGATCTAATTTCTTGAGATTGGTACCAAGAATATTTTTGGTGAAATAGAGCTTTGCTTCTTGGAAATTTTATTTCAAAATGTATTCCATTTCGATGGTTGGACAACACTTAGTTTGAGCAGATAATATCATCTTCGATAAGTCAGATACCCACGGTTTGACCTTTCCTCACTTCGATGCTCTTGTCATTACTTTACGCATTTCAGATACTGATGTAAAAAGAATAATGGTAGACGACAAAAGCGGCGCGTGTATTATTCACCCTAGAGTGAAAGGGATCTAATTCCTTGAGATTGGTACCAAGAATATTTTTGGTGAAATAGAGCTTTGCTTCTTGGAAATTTTATTTCAAAATGTATTCCATTTCGATGGTTGGACAACACTTAGTTTGAGCAGATAATATCATCTTCGATAAGTCAGATACCCACGGTTTGACCTTTCCTCACTTCGATGCTCTTGTCATTACTTTACGCATTTCAGATACTGATGTAAAAAGAATAATGGTAGACGACAAAAGCGGCGCGTGTATTATTCACCCTCGAGTTCTCGCACAAAAGAGACTCGAGGACAAGATAGTACCATGCTGCATAACACTAACAGGTTTTAACAATGCAGTTGAGCGAATCTCAGGAGAAATAAAGCTGCCCGTTCTGGCCGGAGGCGTCACCCTAGAGACAAGGTTTTATGTGATGAACCAGGACACAGCCTATAACGCCATAATAAGGAGACCTGGATACACGCCATGAGAGCAATCTCGTCCAACTTATACCAAGTAATCAAGTTCCCTACTCCGTGGGGGATATTCAGAATCAGAGGCGAACAGTGCACGGCCCAAGAGTGCTACCGCATCGCCCAAGATTGCACACACACTCAACAATTAAAGGGAATGAGCTCGGAAGCATAGCAATTACCAAAGTCGGGACCCGATCTCAACGAACAAAAAGACGTCATCAAGGATTCTGACGTCGTAGAAGCCACAGGGTCAACAATGGAGGACCTCGATCCCGTACAATTAGACAACAGCGACCACAGTAAAAAGGCCTACATCGGCCATAAACTCTCAGAACCAGGTAACTTTCATTGATTTTTAATTGACAACGCAGATTTGTTTGCTTTCTCCCATGCAGATATGCCAGGTATCCTGAAAGACATTGCCACGCACAAACTGAATGTCGATCCACTCTACCCACCAGTACGACAAGTTAGAAGAAAGTTT